TACACACACACCCCTAAAAAAAATAAACAAAAATAAAACAAATTGAGCGCATCATAATTTGCGCATGGCGCATGCGCACCGCACGGCACGCCGCAAACGCCGCAAGTATGGTTTCATAACATGCTTATTTGTTTGCTGTAGAAAACAGTCATTTCCAGTTCCTATGAAAGCATAAACGTGTGAAACAGTTGGTATTTATAACCACTTTGGTAGTATTGGTTTCTGGGTTTAAAAAATAGAACCTATTTTTTGGAAAGTTGGAATCATAAAGGCTATCAACACTATGCACATTTACATTGCAGCCTTTCAACAGTCAAAGACTGCCTACTGTTTCATGTTCTCATCATCTCCACAGAAGGTTGTTGGCATATTATTCTTGAGAAACACCAGGGCACAGTCACACCACAGATGTAATGAGCACATGGGACCATATTTGCTGCATGATTTTCGAAAGATAAGGCTCAAATGAACTCACATACTATAAGAGTGGGATGTACTTGAATGGATTGGGTTTTGAAAGGGGGGAGATTGTTAGCATGCCTCACGACTGCTAAGACCTTCGATGTCCATCCTGATGCATCTTTTTCAGCGAAAGTGGCAGAATGATTCGCAAATGGCTGCTCGGGACTGCAATGAAGCTAGGCGTGGATTTCCCAGGTCTGCTACAGCTCATCATTATATGGCATTGGCACTTGTACAGGTAAGGTGAAGCCTTTGTGTGTTTGGATTGAAGGCGAAGGCAGTTTGTATTACCTGAGTTGCATTGCTTGAGCTATCATGTTCTCGGTTTGTCCAAAACTCTTAATGGGAGGAGAGTATGCAGCAGTGAACATTGACACCAAGTGTAGAATCGTGGCATTGTTCTTTGTGACTTTGTCTTATGTGTGTTGATGTTTTCTTTGGACTGTGTGGATGATGAGTGATGAGATACGTCCACACGATTTCCTTCTGCCTAGCATATGCCTGGTTGTTCTGCATCTGCCTGATGTAAGCAGCCAGTTGCATTCATGAGTACTTATGTGGGAAAGGTGTCCCAAATACATTGATGGTCATTATTATTATTACATAAATGAAAACACCTATTAGTAAAGAATATACCTTGGATATGCCAGTTCCAAATACATTGATAGTCATTACTACATAAATGAAAACACCTATTTGTCGTATTTTTTTGATAGTCTTTTGAAAATCTATCATATTTTGTTGAAAAACATCTTGTAGTCTTGTGCATGGTAAGTACCACAACTCCAATCATGGCCACTAGTAAAATAAGGCTTGAAACCAGAAACAAATAAAAAGAAGTGGTATAAAGTAGATTTCCTAACGTTTGCATACTTTCTATGCATGCCATAGCAATGCCACCTATAATCCAAATTACGCGAATAAGATATATTCAAGCCTTTCACTGTTTTTTGTCCAATCAGAATCTTTTGCAAGGAACATGAATATGGACGAAGCACAGAAATCCAGAATGCAAAATCACACTGAAGTCCAAGTAGTCAAAGCCAAAGCAGATAGCACAATGGAACCGAGTAACCATCCAATTGAGAATGATACAGAAGAATCGTGAGTCAATGTCCATGCCCAGCAGGGCAACACCAACAGCATAACCCAATGTAGCTCTCTCTTATGAATGGCGCCAGGCGCCCTATCTACTCTACAGACTAAGCCTACAACTACAGCAATGAAAGCAACCAGACAACTTGACTACCAGCGAGTGATGATGTCAACACCAATGCCGACCTCCTCCTCCACCAGGTACGTGTCCTCTTCACCCACACTCTCCCTTGTACCCACTCAGCGCCCTTCACCTCCGAAGAACCACCTTCGCCCTTCACCCCTCTGCGCACACAGGCAGCCCGGCTATGGCCGCCAGCGCCCTGCGCCCACAGGCAGCGCCCTACCGCCTAGCGCTGTCCTGCCCACTCGCCCTGCTTGCCTATATGCCAGTGTTGCGTGTGGGCGGCCTCCCTTCAGCCTGCGTCTGGGCCCCAGTCGCTGAACCCAGGCCCGATACAGTTGAGGCCCGGGGGATGCAGTTGCACCTCCCTTTGGCATTTTCGGCCTCTATACCCAGCATGCATTGTCGGCCTCACGTTCAAGTACCCAGGGCCTAACTAACTAAGAGGCCCTGGGTTTTCAGCATTTGCTGAAATCCGAGACTCGGTGCACTCCAACCAACTAGCATGCTGCAACTGTATGGACCCCACTTCGTGAAATGTTCGCACAGAGGGCTCTTGTTGATTTGCTGGCCCGCCTTCACTTAGGGCGGGCACGAGGATTGCAGGGGCCTTAGCCCAGAACGTGTACATCATGGCAAGGCCACTACTTTAGGGCTCAATCCTAACATTCCATCCCCCTTAGCTTCGAAAGTCTGCTGAGATGCTTACTTCGCAGGTGCCTTCCCTTTTAGTAGCCTCTCATATTCTGCCGCCACCTGAGGAGCTGTCTCAATCACTTCCTCCCTGGTAAACCACCGATCTTCTTTCGGATCCGTATGATGCCTGAATCTGACGCGGTACTCTCTCTTGGGTTTAGGAGGTCTTCCTCGACCCAGCGGCTTCGGAACAGGCATATCCCTGTGATCCACAATGCCGTCGATGTCCACTTGTCCATCCATGGTTGGGGGCAGCATCGATCTCCTGGAAGGGAATTGATCTGTCTCAGGGAAAGGTGCAAGCTTTGAGGCATGAAAGACTGGGTGAGTGCGTAGGTGTCCAGGGACACGAATGACATATGTGGGACCATCCATCTCATCTCCCACTATATCCAGGATTTCCCAAGGACCAAAGTACTGAGGCATTAGTTTGCGAGAAAATCCAAACTCCTGTCCTAACTCACTAGCCTTGACCCAGACTCGTTCCCCTACCTGAAATGTGGACTGTCTATGATGTTGATTCTCAGAAGCAATCATTGCTTGCTGAGCTTTCTTCATATGCTCGACAGCCTCTTGCAGCAACTTCTCATACTGCACACCATACTCTAGTGTGCCTGGAGTTGCAGCGGGTCGATTTTCAGGTAGGAGGAAGTCTAGTGCTGATCTAGGCTTCCATCTCAAGTGCAACTGATTAGGACTAACGCCGGTACTACTATGGATAGCATTGTTGTACAGGCTGGCGATGAGAGGCAACTGCTCATCCCAATCATCTTGGCTGGGCTTGATGTAATGCCGCAGCAAGTGTTGTACAACTCTGTTCATTTGTCCGGCTTGTCCGTTGGCTTCGGGATGATTCCCTGAAGTCATTTGAAGTTGACTGCCCATCTGTTCTGCAGTCTTCTTCCACAACTCACTTGTGAATCGGACATCTCGGTCACTAACGATTGACTTTGGTAACCCAAAGTCACGCACCCAGTTGTCTTTGAACAACTTGATGACGAAGTCAGTTCTTGCGGTCTCTGGCATAGCCGCTAGTCTAGCATACTTGGTGAATCGGTCGATGATGACGAAGATGTGCCTCTTGCCACTCTTACTAGTCACCAGGGTGTCCATAAAATCCATGGAGACACTCTGTCCTGGACCAGCAGGGATAGGCAAAGGCTTCAACAACCCAAGCGGTGCTTGAGTTCGCGGCTTGTCCCGCTGACAGACCTGACAGGTCTCTACGTACTTCTTCGCGTCATTGAACATTCCTGGCCACCAAAATCGTTGTACTAAGTTAGCACTCGTCTTCTTGTAGCCGAAGTGTCCCGTTGCGTCATGGCATTCTCCTAAGAACAAACTACACAAAGGTTCACTAGATGGAACTACTAATCTTTTTATTCCGGCCTTATCAAGATAGAGAAGCCCGTCCACCATCACAAACTCGCTTTCCGTGGCCTTGTCTTTTGCCTGAAGTTTGCGAATGATGTCCATCGTGACAGGGTCTTCCTGATAGGCTCCCACCAACGATTGAGTTACTTCATCAGAAACTAGCGCACCTAGGTAGTCTGCTCTACGTGATAGCGCATCAGCAACCTTATTATTCTCTCCCTTCAGATACTCAAGCTTGAAGTCATATTGGTCTATGACCTCAATCCATCGCTTGAGTGCATCAGAAAGAGCCGGTTGAGTCTTGATCCATTTCAAGGTCTGATGATCAGTCCTCAAGTAGAAGAACCTTCCCAATAGGAAGTGTCTCCAATGGACAAGTGCTTTATATAGAGCATAGAGTTCCCTTTCATAGGTGGACTTTGCCAACTTCTTTGATGGCATCGTTTTGCTCATATACTCAATCGGTCTCAACTCTTTCCCATCCTGTTGAGCCAGCACTGCGCCAATGCCGTATTGGCTTGCGTCAGTGGTCACTATGAATGGCTTCTGCGGATCGGGAACCATGAGGACCTCATGATTCATGAGTGCATGCTTCATTCTCTTGAAAGCACCCTCGCACTCATCATTCCAGTCCCACGGCATGTCAAGTCGAGTTAGATCAGTCAAAGGAGAGGCGACTGTAGAATAGTTCTTAACGAAGTTCCTATAGTAGCCGCACATTCCTAAGAATGATCTGACCTCAGTGACTGTGTGAGGTCGTGGCCAGTCTCGAATACTAGCCACCTTCGCATCTTCCGGCCTTATCCCCTCCGCGGATACTTCATGACCCAAGTATAGTATCTTAGTGCGGCCAAACTCGCACTTCTCTAAGTTGACCTTATACTTCTGCTGTCGCAGGAGTGAGAGTACCTTCTCAACATGTTGTGCGTGCTCCTTGGCAGACTTACTAAAGATCAGAATGTCGTTTAAATAGATCACGACCAACTTATCTAAATGGTCATGGAAGATCTGATTCATGGCGTGCTGGAATGTTCTCGGCGCGTTACAAAGACCAAAAGGCATCACTACAAACTCGTACAGACCATAACGAGTCTGAAAAGTTGTCTTGTGTTGGTCCTCTGGCCTTATAGCGATCTGATGATAGCCGGATTTCAAGTCTATCTTGCTATAGTACTTGCATCCCTGCACCCTATCCAATAGGTCGTCTATGCAAGGTAGAGGCTTTGCGTTCTTCACTGTGACGGCATTGAGGCCTCTATAATCAATGCACATCCTCAAAGTACCCCCCTTCTTCGATACGAATAGAACGGGTGATCCGTAAGGGGAAGTACTAGGCCGAATCCAACCCTTCTCTGTCAGCTCCTTAAGCTGTTGCCGAAGTTCATCTAACTCGGCGGGGGCCATCCTATAGATCCTTCCCTTTGNGTTCATCTAACTCGGCGGGGGCCATCCTATAGATCCTTCCCTTTGGGGTCTTACTCCCTGGAATGATTTCTATAGCGTGGACGACTTCCCTTTCAACAACTCCTGTGGGCTCCTCGAACAGATCAGGGAACTTAGCAACGACGCGTTCTATCTCTGGGGGTGTTTTAACGGCCTCCCCTTTCTCAGAGACATACACAAGGTACATACCCTCCTCTTCGTTTTGCTTGTAATAATTGTAGAACACTGATGTGCACAAGCAGCCATAGGTATCTATAATACTACTAGCCTTGAACTTAGTCAATCTGACAGTTTGGCGATCGGGCAACTTACGCTTGAGCACCTTCTTATCCCAGTCAAACTGGGGCTTAGCAACTTCGAGGTAGTACATGCCTAATAACATGTCGAATGGTAAGTCGTCGCTAACCAAGAACGAGATCTTATGGTTAAGCTCGCCTCCTCCATAAGAGAAGGCACAGACTACGTCCTTGATGTAGCCTGTTACGATCATGCGCTCCTTGTTGGCCAAAGTAGATGCTACAGGTCTACTAAGGTGTCGTACCCGGTTCTGTAGGTGCAGCCTTTCCAAACAATCGCGACTTATGTAATTTCGCGTGGATCCGATGTCTATGAAGGCACCACATTTGCGGCCTCCTACATCCACTTTCACCACGAAATGTTCCCCTCTAGGACCTTTCTTTAGCGCCACCCAAGACTCGCGAGGGTCCTTGTTTGACCACTCACCTTCTAAGTCTTCTAAGGCTTCAGACACATCCCACGTACATAGCATAGTTTGGTCTAGATGTGTCTGGGGGGTGACTAAGGAGTCATTAGCTTTGGCCTTGTCATGAAGTGGGGAGGGTATCAATCCCACCTCATCTTGAGTAGAAGCAGCTAATACTTCCACTGGCCTCACGCGTTTCCCGAGCTTGAAGCCTGGGAATAAGATGCCCCCATCTTTGGAGGTATCTTTTGCGTAACCTTTGCGTTCTGACACTTGTATTGCGAGTGTCCATATTCCCCGCAATTGATACAAGCGCCACGCACTCGGCAGTCACGCCACACGTCTTGGTCAAGACCTGCCTTCACCCATTCAGGCTGCTTGGTCTGATTGGAGGGGGCCTTTCCTTGGCTCCTAGGTTGGCCCTTCCCTCGGCCACCTGCCTTAGTCTTGACTACCGCGGCGAGGGTGCTACCCTCAGCTACCTCCTCGCCGTCAAACTCTGTATAGTCCATCAGGTCAGTGAGCTCGTCGATCTCCGTTTGAGTCCCATCGGACTCAACCATCATCAACTTAGCCCCCTTCTTCTTTCACTCCTGAAGACTCTTCTTCTTCTTCGTGTCAATTTGAGAGGTTGGTTGAGCATTGCCTAGCGTGGCCTCCAAATCTAAGGCTTTCCTAGACAGTGTCTCAAACGAATGGTACTCAGTGCGTGCCTCGCTGGCCAGTAAGTTCCTGATGTTCTCTGGTAAACATCTAACAAACGTAGTTAACAGGAACTGGTCACTGTAGTTGATGCCTGGGACGAGGATCAGGCTTTCGACGGTAGTCGTAAGCTCTCTGACCGACTTGAACTTACGTTGGTCCATCTTGTTAATCGCATCAGTGGCTCTTTGTGCCTCCTGTGGATTATGCCATCGAGCTTCTACCATTTCCATGAACTGGTCTAACGTCATAGACTTAGGCCAGTCTGCCATGCGTCGCCCATACCCGGCCTTTACAACTACCCCATCTAGCCACTTGGCTGCCTTACCCTCCAGGTAAGATGCAGCGGTAACCACTTCGTCCTCTAGCAAGGTCCTCTTGGCCTTTACCCAAACCGGAACTGTCCTCAACCATGTGTTGAGTTCTTCGTCCTTCCTCTCGCCTGAGAAGGCAAGAGGCGGTTTATTTGGGGTCTTAGGATACCATTGACCCTGCGGCTGTCCCTGTTGAGGAACAGGTTGTTGCGGTGATGTAGCTCCCACCGCTGGACCCGAAGAAGAAGATGCAACAGTCTGTGCGACCGCTGCAGACGTACCACTTGGCTGTGTACCAGCTTGAACTGGAAAGGGGCCTGACATCGCCGATAACGGCAACGACGATTGTGCTGGAGGCCTGAATCCTGGCCTCGTCAATGCGTCCATGATCTGGTCTAGAGTGCTTTGCATGAAGTCTAATCTGCTGTCCACGTGCGCATGCAGCGACAACATATTCTTCCTCAGTGTTTTCTGCGGGTCAGTCGATGCTGACTCATCCAAGCCCTCTGTCAGCCTCTAAACTATCACGCCTGGCTGCTCTATTTTTTATCTCTCTCTCTCTCTATCGGTTACCTTTTTCAGGTCCTCTAACTTTTGGCGGAGCCTCTCGACCTGTTGGATCTCTCTGAGCTCCCTCTCACGTGGGGTCAACGGGCTGAACTGCGAGCCCGCCATTTGACTAGTAGACTGTCTAGAACCTGTTGAACCGAAAGTGCCCGTGGAACTTGTGGAACTTAGTGGCATTCCCAAATGAGTCCCATTAGTCCCTGACGAGGACGCAGACGAGGACGCAGCAGAGCTTGCGCCGTTAGCCATCGCAGCTGCTCTGGCTGCTGTTGCCTGCTCTCTTGCTGTATTCCAACTGCTAGAGCACGGGCTCTACGTTCGGCTATAAGCCGTCTTTCTTCTCCCGGTTGTAGGGCCTGGAACACATGCGGCACCCTTAGTGCCTCTGCACGTGTTAGTCTCCTATTGTCAGCTCTATCATCAACAGGGTCTGACCCACTCATTAGTTAGGCAGATAGTGTCTGCACTAGAATCCCCTTGTGGAATCCTACCACAGCATGTATCTGACCGACACCTAATTTTCTAACAATAGTTGTGTCCGGCAAGTCCCCTACTGWMC